CGACATTCTGGGTAATTTTAACTATTTGTAATTATTTTAATTAACTGGAACGTGGCTATCTTGGACAAAGTGAAGTTTTGTGTGTTGGTGATTTCTTTTTCTACTATAAATGCCTCTGATGATGGCTCCGTGGTGAGCCGAAACATGTAAGGCAGGTGCTGACGAGGTGGAAAACTTAAAAAAGTGTCACATTTGACGGAAGAAACTTGATTGTTAATTGGTTAGTGTGACGGACCAGAATGAAAGACCTTAAATCCATTAAATTACTTAAAATCAGCTCTGTTTATATTACCTCACCTCTAAATCATGTATGTAATATATCCTTTTTATTAGGGGCCTTCCCTAAACTAAAGCACTCAATAGTAAAACTGTTATTTAAAAAAGGTGATAGAATGGATGTTTCCAGCTACAGACCAATATCCATACTGGCCTCTTTTTCATAAATCCTTGAAAAAGTAATATATAAGAGACTACTTTAACATGTAATTAATAACAACATACTAGCAAAAGAACTATTTGGATTTAGGAAAAAGCAACCTATGAACTAAGTAATGAAATCATAGGTGCTCTTGATCAAAAACTACTGGTAGGCAGGATCTTCTGTGACCTAGCTAAAGTGTTGTATTTTAGCATCCTGTTGCACTGATATATAATATAGCTTGATATAATACCTGAGTTTGAAATACTACGTATAAGATGATAAATTTAAACAAAAATTTAATATATAACTTTTATTACAGTACATGACGAATATATATTTTAAATCATTTAATAAATGACACATGATGGCGAGCAGTGCAATAGTTTAACGTAAATAACACACCTGCGAATGTCGAAGTGACAAGTGAGATTGTTTGCACTAGAAGACGGTCAATACATACACATCATGGACTAGCTAAAGTGTTCAGCAGCGTTAATCTTGACACTTTGCTGCTCAAATGAAATTGGTGTGGAATAACTTGTAAGGGCAGTAATTAAATTAAATCATACTTTGTGGATAGATGTCAGAGGGGATAAATGAAAAACAAACTTTATTCATCAGATAGCTTCAGAATGGGGTAAAATAAGGCATGGCATCCACAAGGATCCATACTAGGACCTTTACCCTTTTTTCTCTGTGTAAAGACCATATCTTATTGTGACAACCTGTACTTGGATTTATGGAACATAAATAAATTTGAATTCATACCCCATCCTCTTCCCATGTCATGTAGTGCAATAGATTTTCATGTCCATTTTTTACATTTTGAAAGCAATTATGCCAATAGGAACACATCAGATTGTGACAGACTCTGGAAGTTGAGAAGATATTCACTTATCTAAATGCATGACTCTCCTAATTACAGTCCTACTGAGTACATTGGGACAGATGAAGTAATCCTAAAGTTTCTATGCAAGGTGGTTTACCTCCAGTTTGTTCAAAAGAAAAGGAAATCGTTCGGCATGAAACCCAAGAAATTGTGTGACTTCTTGGTGTACACCTGTGATGTGAAAGTGTGCTTGCGGAAGCAACATAATGATAAAATATTATGCTGTAATGCATCCCGTTAGAAGAGTGGATAATAAGGACCATCAGCTGTTTTATAATTATGTCTGATGACCTCTTTAAAAAAATGATTTGTCCATGGGGCACAGTAACAATACAAAGGTAATTCCTGCAAATTTCAGTCCACAACATTTGAAATTTAAAAAAGGAGACATTGTATACAAGGTACATTACAGTCTAATTTACATACTCTTAGGAGTATACAATTGCCGGTCATGGTCTAAGAGGTCTAAGGCATGTACTGTCTTCACTCGCTTGGAAACCCGGATCATGGGTTCAAATCCCACTCAGGGCAGGGATGTTTAGTGTGTGTACAGGTAGAGGCCTTGCGACGAGCTGATCACCCACCCAAGGGGTCCTACCGAATGTGTAAGATCTAGAAAAACCGAAGTTCATGGAGGTAGGCCTAGGTCCACTGGGGCTGTAGTGCCAAGAGGAAAAAAAAGGAGTATACAATGAATGTTCTGTACTTTTACTTATTTTTCTTTCTTTTTTTAATGAATGTAGGAAGTTTGTTTATGAAGTAACAAATGACTTGCACAGATTTTTTTCCCTTCAGCTGTAGGAGGCCTGTGATTCTGGACATATTAAAAAATTGTGGGGCAACCAATATGTTAGACTAACATGTTTATAAGACTCTGCAACAGAGGGCAGGATGGGCATTGCCTAGGCCTTTTTTGTATATACATATTTTTTTTAAATTAAGGAATGCTGCGTGAGTTAGGAGGAACAATACGTCGCGACATCACACGACCGAAACTGAAACTACTTGAATGAAGCATACACAAACCATTCCAATTACTCACGAAAGATGTCGCTAATGTCACTCGCTGCAAACCCTGTAAACTAATGTGTCACAGCGCTAGTCAAGACCGTCAAGAACGTCAAGAAAGTATGTCGTATGAGTGTATCGTAATTCGTGTGCATTACAAATATTCTCCTTCTCTACCTACCACTGCATTTCTGTGTGTTAACGGCATTATGTACATACAGTAATTGCCAGAACCTAGTACTATCAGGCTCTATTCTTAGATCTCAATTTTGTGCATCAAAATGTAATGGAAATTATGTGCATTATGTTACCATCCCTGTACCCGCCAATTATATGCGTACTCATTTCCGTTATTGTTTGAAATTACTATATATCGCTTGGTACCCTTAAGGGTTATGAGAAATGTCACTTAAGCTAACTGAAGGTGCTATTTCGGTAAGTAACCCATATGGCAAGCAAACGTATTCAGTCAGAGCTTTATTGCGAAGGACGTATGGTACTGTTTGTATTTTGTGAAGTAGTCTTTATCATTTCGTGATGCCGGTAGTATGTGAGTGTCAGCTTCAGTCCTCCCCACGTTAACCGCAAGGAAAGAGCCTGGTTTTACATTGGGTTGAAGGCTGGGTGGCCCCTCTTGACACTGTGGAGAAGAGAAATCTTGTAAGATTTGAGGATTCAAGAGAATTTTTCTTTACCCTTTCCTGAGAAACAAACCACCGCCATCCAAACCAGAGTCATTTGCTATGCCAATTGAGCTGTTGACCATTGAGTCAGTTATCTGATGATATTCAACCATCACTGAATAAAATACACATGTCATTGATCACAGTTACAGGAAATAAATTAGACTAATAAACAAATAAATTTGCAGTATCGAAAAAATGAAAATTGGGATTAACTATTCAAAAATCATGATGTTGAATGAGTGTTTACCATATTTCTATGTACTGTATTCAGAATATATGAAGCAAGTTTGTCTATCAGAAGTAGATAATAGGAAAGTTGAATGCATATTTACAGGTAATAAAACATCTTTCAAATATAAACAAGGCATTCCTGTAAGTAGTGGAACAAATAACTGCCAAGTATTGAAGATTTATGAAGCAGTTATCATTCTGCAACATTTTAACTCAGAACATTAGAGAAATCAGTAAAATTCTAGTTGATGGAGGCATTGTGTCTCCACCTCCACACCAACAGATTTTCTGTGCCACAGCTGTGATGACGTAGAGGGGAGGGAACTGCAGTGAGTTTCTGTAATGCGTTGCCAGCCTTAAATATTTGTGTTTAAAACCAAAACCCTAATCTGAAGACATTTGCAGCATTTGGGTCACCAAAAGTTCCTACTGCAAAATTTGTTGAAGATGTGCTAGTGCCCACAGATTGCTACAAAAGACCACCATTGAGTGCATGCTGCGCCTTATTAGCTGTTCTAGTGTGATGTCCCCAAATGTATCCATCAGTTCTCTCTGGTCACACATGCAGCACAAGAGGCATGCATTAACAAAGTCAGTATTTCTGTACCATGCTGTGACTTGGCTTCTTGCAAACTGAGACATGATTCAGTATTTACAATAGATCTAAACATGGAAGGAACAGTGATGTCATGTAAGATGCTGGCAACCTTAGAAATATCCTGTTAAACTCAAGGAATGCACTGGTGAGATGTTGTTTCCCAGAGTGTGTCTTTGCTGGGGCTGGGTCCTGTTGCCAGGAGGTGCCAGAGAAGTATAAGCATGTGTGCTATAGTTTCTGAGCTGGTGTTTTTCTGAAAACATTTCCATTCGTCACCAGTGGAAATACAGTAAATGTTTGATATGATGTCACATCAAGATAAAGCCTCAAACATGCACCTGCATACTTGTATCGTGTCCTGCCATTCGTCAGTGGAAATGCAGGGGAAGGGGAAAACCAGGTGTGTGACAAGGAGGGGAAGATCCTGCATGGTGTCTACATAAACTAGAATTCATCCAGGGTTCATGTATATTCTTTGCAATAGACAGATATTGAGTTCTGATAAATAAGTGAAAATAGTCTGGAGAACTGTAAAAAAAGGAAACATTTACAGTAGGGGGTTCCATGAACAAGCTGTACTCTGACTGAAGGTGTTAGGCGTATGATGAGACTTGTGCACTGAAGATTGTAGGGCAAATCTGCAATTATACATGGATGTAAAGTATGTTTAACAGTACAAATGACAAGAGGCCATTATATTTTTTGTAAATTTGATGAAACTAGAGTGGGGACAAAATATGCAGTTGAAGCTTCTTGGAAAGTTTTGCTGATAGGTTGGAGAGATAGAACCAAAAGAGGAAATTCTCAGTGTGTTGAAAGGAAGGAGCCCATTAAATGCAATATTAAAATGTTCTTAAAAATATTTTGAGTAAAATTTACATTAAGAATGGCTGGGGACATTGTAGGGATGTTATGCAGCGAGCATTGCAAATAATGGGAACAAAGACACATCAAGGAAAATGGGACAGTTTTTGTTTAAAATATCTCAGAAAAGAAAGAGGGTGATGTATAGGCTCTAGTTATAAAAGGACGGTGATATAAACAAGAAGTGCATGTATATAGAAGATGTGAATATTTTATGTGTGGTACTGCAGAACAGTTTGGCTGCCAGCAAAATGACTAAAATAACATAGCTCTTTGCATCTACTAATGTTTATAGCAGGCAACAAATCAATTCAGTTAACTGATTCTCTTGCAGAGATTTATTTAACAAATTTAATAAATACTTCCCCTACCTAGTGAATTCTCTCTCTGTCATTTGTTGCAAACAACATGGGAAAGTGTAAAACAAATTCAGACATGCACAATAAGAGCATGACCTCCAGTGATAACCTCACTTGATGCAGGAGTATACTGAGTATACAGTGCAGGAATAAGGTTATTCAGTAATATTCGTCTACCATTAAAAGTTTAACTTGATCATCATATAAAAGTATTTAAGCCAGCATTAAAAGGTTATTTATCATTTCACTCCTCTTGCTCTGCAGTCCAACAAATTGATTCTTAAATATTATAAACATTTATGAAAATAATATTTCTTTTATATAATTACTTTGCTCTGTAAAATTTAATATCTGCACACAATTAGTTGCTTGTAAATAATTGTAACCACAAATATGTTTATGTATATATGTATTTCTATCATATGTGAAACATTGTACATTTTTGGATTAATCCTATGAAGGATCTGTGAAACTTAAATAAATTAATATTCTCTTTGTAGGTTATACTAGCTGGTGGCAATGTTGATGAACCAGTTGTGCAGATTCTGGTAAGTTGTGTTTGTTCAGCTTTTCTGTGACTAGTGGTAAGTATGAAGTTGCCCTGTTCCTTCGATTTGCACAGTAGTTACTCAAGTCATATCCATCTGTTGAAATACATACAGCATCAGTACTTTGAACCTACGTATTTCTATGTGAAAAGGATTGAAATTGCTGTTGAGAAGTTCAGAGGCATTGATCAAATTCCAGTAGAATCGGTTTGAGCAGAAGCTACAATGGTATGTTCCAGGTGACGCTGATCATTCTGAGCCCTTATTTATTTGGATAATTATAGATGAACGTGAAATTTATTTCTAATTCATTCTTGGTAATTTAAATTTCAAAAGTCTTATGTTTCGATATTACTGGAAATGTGTCGTGATCTATAATATCGTATTTCATCGTCTGGGACGTGCAATACGGTGTTTATGTTGAAAATTTCTAGATTCTGGCAGAAACAAGAAGTCTGGAGTTATGACATTTACGATCAGTCATAAATTTAGCTTGGGTACAGGGAACCGGACGCGCCTAAAAGGACAGGTCAGAGCTTGTTACAATTGCCTGTGAATGAGGGCCAGTATGATTGGGTTGCCTCATTCAAGCTTCCCAGGGAAGATGGGATGAAAATGTATATGTCAACACCATCTTTCGAATTCCCGGCGTGGGGGTGCAAGCCATTCCACAAAAGGAGAGACTTTCACAATATTCCGAACTGAACGGACGTGACCCTTGCACGCTCCGAGACATAGCTTGCCGATAGTGTAACGCTGTAACTTAAAGCTAAGAATACATTAATTTAACAGTGTGGTGAATTAGCAGGTGAATAAACGTCAATTGGCTCAACTCTCAGAAAAACGCTTTCTTTGGCATCGCTACCCTGAGACTCATGCAAACCGACCCAGCTAGTTTCCCGTACCTATACCGATCTTCCTTAGTTTGATCTGTGAGGACAACTTCCAGTAGCCATCATACACTGTCCTAAGGTAGAAACAGGTGTAGCAGGGATAGCACCATTCCAACTGCGCTGATACAAACAAAGTGGGTTGGAAAAGAGCAGTGTTACAGGGTCCTTCAACATATTCATGCTATTTTGAATAAAGGAGAATTGTATCAGCAGAGGAAGAAGTCTGTTGATGTATATGTAAAATGGGTAGTAATATTAATTGTAATAATTATCAGGGAATGTTGCTTTCAAAGTATGATCAGCGTTCTTCTGTCAGTGCTAAATCCATATGTTAACAGAGCTACTGGGGATCATCAGTTTGGACTTTGATGTTATAGGTCAGATACTTTGAGGTATTTTGCATTTGTCAAATACTGAAGGAAAAAATGGGAGTACCGTATTTATGCATGTATAGGCCGCACATTTTTTGCCAAAAATTCAAGAGGAAAACTGGGGTGCAGCTTATATTCGAAATATTCGAAATCACACTTCATTTAAAAAAAATTATATTCATAATTAGTAATACAGGGTGTAATACTCCTGAAATAATATTCCAAGAAAATTATTTTTTCTATAATTTCTGTCTGAAAATTGTGCTGCGGCCTATACACGCACGCGGCCTATACGTAAATATGGTACTTTGGGGCTATACATTAGAATTACAGTCCTTCAAGAACTAAGTATTGTATGGCATTCTTATGGTATTTTGTGTTCTCATACAGACAGATTAATTGAAATGTGTTTAGATTACTCCAATAGTAAATTTTGTATAAATAGACATTTTTCTAATACAGGATGTTTTTCTGTTATCTCACACTTTAAAATGTACGTAACGTCTTTGTTATTGGATGCAGTTATATAAGATTTTTCACTGATCATTCAAGACACTTGAGAAATTTGTGTGTGGTCATCAGCGGTGAAGTGAGTAACAAGATGTCATTGTATACAATGGGTCAAAAACTATCTCGATTGGGTGTGTCCTGTTGTGAGTTTCTAACACACGCATGTATATATAGGCATTAGGTTAACTGTTACATAACAAATATACTTGGCTTTTAATATTTTATAATTAAACCTTTTAATTCTGCTACATGTTTTGGTCATACAAGACCATCATCAGGCAGTTAATCAATCTACATCGAACCAATGCACAGGGAGAACATATCAAACATATATATGCCCAGACAAAAATGCACACATCATATCTTATTGATCATATAAAGATAAAGTTGTCCTTGTGCTCAACAAATTAAGCACAGTGCCATGAATGTATATGGGGGAGTGGATATATAAGCATTTTCTTGACCTCGGCACTAGCTGGAGGTGAGTGGTCAGCTTCACGTCCCTGCCGTTTACCCCTGGGGAAAGACTCCCCAGTACCCGTTGGATAGGAGGTTGGGTGGACCTGAGAGCCGGTCTGGACAATTTGGAGAAGAGAAAATTCTTGGCCCTACCAGGACTCAAACTCTGACCCCTCAGTTGTCCAGCCCATAGCCAGTTGCTATACCGACTACGCTACCCCAGATCTTATTGATCATATAATGACACAATTCATATCAGAAATATGTACACTCAATACATCACACATTAACGACCTAGACATCACTGAAACTTGTCTCTGAGCTCCACGACCTGGCTTTAGTATGTAGAAAGCGTCTAACAACAGAAGATCTACAAATGACATAACATGCCCAATACTACACTGTTGCATCAGAACCTTATGAGTTAATTTGGCATACATATTTTTAACCTCACATACATAATAGTTTTAATGTATTGTTATATATTTTAAGTATTTTTAATATGTTTAATATTTCTGTAATATAATCAACATACTTATATCACCTAATATATCTTAGATACATGGTATATATTCTATTTTTTATCTATTATTTTTCTTCTTTTTTATACTGAATTACAATACCAACTTTCGGAAAGTTTTCTGTTAATATATGATATGACACGTTGCACTGGTATAGATCTATATCGGTAGTTCAGAGACTAAACATATTCCTATATTAATTGCCTGATGATGGTCTTGTACGGCTGAAACATGTGGCAGATGTAAAAGGTCTAATTGTAAAACATTAAAAGCGAGTATATTTGTTGTATGATGGTTAACCTAATTCCTATATATTGTCACGTGTTGGCTGTACAACGCAACAAATAACTTCACGCCATATTGGATATAGCGAATTTTATTCCACACTCGCTCATACAATCTCACAATTTACAAGCTCAACATTACTGCCATTGGCAGTATCACAAATACTCTACTGCAGTTAACTGGTGACTGACTCTCTGGTTAACTCGTAACTAAACGCTGGCTGGATTTCAACTCAACTGTAGGCTGCTGCCTTGAGAACTGTCTTTGGCGGCTCTGTAGTTCCCTTATATAGTCACAGTGTTTGCCTGTTACGTAATGGGTACTGCTGTTGCCTGATGCCATGTTACGTCACAGTGAGGAGAGGGGCGGGGTGTTGACTTGCCTATTACCATAGTAACGACAGCGTTCCGATGCTGCCACGTACCACTGGGGTGGGAGGGGGTGTCCTCCATTGCGCAACATGTCACACTACTCCCTCCTTAAGGCTGTTCGTCCCGAATAGCCTAACGGTGCACCCCCCGTTCCTTTTCTTCCAGGGATGTACTTGGTGGGTCCCCTGTTCTTTCGGCTACTCCTTGCAGCAACTATTCCCCGTCCATTACAACTGCTCCCCTCTTAAGACCAGCTCGTCTCGAGCGGTTTCCTTTTAACTTGCCTAGAAGAACCAGTTGTATCAGATTCATCCTTAACTTATTCAGTTTTCATTCATTCTTGCTAGGGAGGCCTTTTTCCGTTTTGGAGGGGGTCAACCCCTCCACAATGTCCATTCTCTTATTTTCCGTAACCCATTGGAAGTACCGACTACTTGTTTCGTGAACTTTCCTCTGAAAGTCACATTGACGGTCTTCTCTCAGGCGTAGCCATTCTTCTGCGCCTTGGTTCCTTATGCCCTTGCTGCCTTTCCGTTGCAGCCGACGCCTCCTCCCGGACGTCTGTCCTGTCATGGTTCCCGTCCTTCCTTTCCAGGCTTCTTGTCCGGCGTTTACCCTGGTTGAATATTTCTTTACGGGATCTCCCTTGCGTCATGTTGCACCTGCACGACTAGTCATATTTCTGTCGGCAGCCAATTCGTGCCACGGTCCATAATTTCTTTGAGTCAAAGATTTTCTGAGGATGTTCCTCTTGCGCCATGCCACTCTTGCACGGCGGGACACCTTCCTGCTGGTTTTCTTCTGCCGTGTCACTTCCACACGGCGGATCGTCCCTCTCCGGGCTAGGGCCAACTTATTCTGGGTTCCATAATTTTCCTGTGTCGAATTCTTCATATTTCGATGATTTCGGCCCCTACGCCTTTTCTTCTTCAGTTCTCCAACCGGCATTACTTCGGCGTCTCCTACGGGTACCTCTCGTTCTGCCGCCTCAGGTTTCATGTCCACTGAGGCTGGCTCTTCTTCTAGATGTGCCTCCATCTCTTGGCAGGCCATCGTCACTCCAACCAGTATCATTACGGGGACCTCTTGTTGTTGTGCCGCCGCAGGTTTCGTTTCCACTGGGGCCAGCTTTTCTTCTTGACGTGTCTCCGTCGTTTCTCGGCAGGCCATCATCTCTTCCTCTGTCCCTGATTTAAATGCGGACACCATCTCCATGTGGCTGGTGCGCATATATTCTCGAATGACGGCCGTCCTTGCTCTGACCGCTTCAATTTTATGTTGGAGTGTCTCATCCAACTCTGGCGGCATAGATCGCATTTCGGCCTTCAGTTCCTCCTTGTCGGCCGTCGCCTTTCCTTGGTAGGCGTCTAATTTTGTCAGCATGACGTCGGTTTTTTTTTTTTTTTTTTTTTTGTTGACGTCTAATTTTGCCAGGAAGTCTTCTCTGTCTTTTTTCCTATTTGCTTCCATTTCTACCTTCTCGGTTTTTCTATCTGCCTCTGCCTTCACCAGCATGATATGTGTTTTTTCTCGATCAGCTCTGATATCCTTGAGCAGCATTTCCATCATCTGCTGCACCTCCATTTTGTTGCAGTAAAGTACTCGATGCACAATAATTCAATTATTTGTCGAGGCGTGTTTAAGTTCGTAAATACTTCTGACACTAGTTATCACGTGTTTAGTTCGTAACCACTTCTGACAGTCACGTGTGTAAGTTCGATCCCACTTCTGACACCAAATTGTCACATGTTGGGTGTACAATGCGACAAATAACTTCATGCCGTATTGGGTATAGTGAATTTTATTCCACACTCGCTAATACAATCTCACAATTTACAAGCTCAACATTACTGCATTGGCAGTATCACAAATACTTTACTGCAATTAACTGGTGACTGACTCTCTGGTTAACTCGTAACTCGCCGCTGGCTAGATTTCAACTCAACTGTAGGCTGCTGCCTTGAGAACTGTCTTCGGCGGCTGTGTAGTTCCCTTATATAGTCGCAGTGTTTGCCAGTTACGTAATGGGTACCGCTGTTGCCTGACGCCGTGTTACGTCACCGCAAGGAGAGGGGCGGGGTGTTGACTTGCCTATTACCATAGTAACGACAGCGTTCCGATGCCGCCACGTACCACTGGGGTGGGAGGGGGTGTCCTCCATTGCACAACATGTCACAGTATATACATATGGGTCACAAACTGTTTGTTATCAAAACCTCTTACTCTCTTGGTGGTTCTTGTGTTGCTGTGGATAGGCAGTTTCATTGAGAGTTTTCTGTTCATGTTGCACTATCAAGAGAGACTATTTATCTATGACTCTGCAGTCCTTTTGTTGGATCTTAGCCACTTTTTCAGTTTCTTAATCCCATTTACCACCATCTTTGAGCCGATTGTCTAGATAATGTGGGACCCTCAACGTCTCACAACCCTATGGTCCTTCACAGCCTGTTACAGGGATAGCTTTACTTCTTTTTACTTTATACACAGTCAGTAGGACTCCTTGGATGAGAAATCAGTGCATCACAAGGCCAATACCTATACACAGAACAACACAAAAAAAGATTAAACTTACAGACGTCCATGACTTGAATGGGATTCGAACTCACGATCCCAGCGTTCAAGCGATTGAAGAGAGTTCATGCCTTAGATCATTCGGCCAGTGTGATCGCCAGAGACACTGTATGCTGGACTACTAATCAGTTTGAAGAAACAGGAAGTGTGTCATCGACAAGTGAAGGGACATAAATGCAGCACATCTGTTCCTGTGGAAGATATTGTCAGTGCAGTGTAGGAAGCAGCAACAGTAAGCCCAAGAAGTGTGCAGCGTTATAGCACCACAGACTGGGGTCTCAACCTGCTCAGCATGGAAAATCTATCTTGATTTGTCATTTCCATACAGAATGCAACTAACTTGGTCATTGTCAGAAGATGGAACAGCGAGGCATTCTACTTTTGCGAGGGGCTACAGAGCTCAACTGGCGATAGTCCAGGTGTCTTGAATGTCACATTGTTCTCTGGTGAAGCACACTTGCAGATGGATGCTTACATAGCAACACAAGAACCACCAGAAGAGTTCTGGATCCATCATATATAATGCCATCATGTAACTCAGTTTGGCATTGCTAGCAATAAAAAAAGGTAAAGTTGTCCGTGTGCTCAGTTAAGCACCATACAATGATGATATATGGTAGAGTGGGGTTATAACTCTGCCATTCTTGGCCTCAGCATGAGATGGAGGTGAACGATCAGCTTCATGTCTAGCCCCCTTTACCCATTGGATAGGAGGATGGATGGGCCCCAGAATTGATCTGGATGCTGTGTCCCCCTGCTGGGAATCACACCCTGGCCATGCATCCCATAGCTCATCGCTATACTGACAGCTGTCCTGACTCCCAGTGTTGCCAATGGTAACAAACAAATTTCTGAAGCTTGCAGAATGATATATGAAAGCTTCATGTAATTGCATTTATAACAAAGATGTTATACAAATTTGATGGTGTCAGATGATAGAAGGACCAGCTGATACATTTCCTATTCAGAATAATCTGAAATAGGGAGATGTTTATATGTTTTCTTTTACCATTATTTTTCAATTTTACTTCTGAATATCCAAGAAAACCAGGAGGGAATGGACTTGAATGGGACACTTCAGCTTCTGGCCTGTGCTCGTAATTAGTGGTTGAAACATAAATCCTACAAAGAACCTCTGTTTGGCACTGGTAAGGAGTTTGGTCCAAAAGTGAACACAAAGAGGAGCGAGTCTACTTTTCAAGTCTCATCATCAGACTGCATATAAGGACCGCTAATAAACCCTTTGAAAATGTGACAGAGTTCAGGTTTTTGGTAATGGCAGTAACAAATCAAAATTATGTGTATGAGTAAGTTAACAGCAGATTCAATTTTGAAAATGTATGCAGCCATTCAGTTTAGAATCTTTTGTCTTCATGTCTCATATACAAGGATTAAAATATACAAAGCTGTAATTCTGCTTGTTTTTATGGGTTTAAGAGTTGGGCTGTCACATTAAGAGAGAAACATGGGCTGAGGAAATTTGAGAACCAGGTGTTGAGAATATTTGAACATGTGAGAAGGCGACAGGAGGATAGGGAGAATTGCATAATGGATAGCTTCATAATTTTGGCTCATCACCAGATACTCATGGGGTGATTAAATCACTGAGATGACATTGACTGGGGGTGTATCACACATGGGAAGATAAAAAATGGTACAACATTTGTTGCAAATCCAGAAGCGAAGAGACCATCGCTTATAAGACATAGGCATAGATAAGAGGATAATACTAAAGCTGATCTGTTAGAAGTGGGGTGTGAGGATGTGAACTGGAGTCTTTTGACATAGGGTAGGGTCTGGTCTGGTGGTGTGCTGTCATACACACATTAATAAATAATTGTAGTTCCATAAAAGACTGAATTATTGACTTTGAAATGGTTATGTGTGTCTCTTTGAAAATTAATTATTAAGATTGAACAACTTGTATTGTAACTCATTCAGGCATTGATACCACATGCTAGTATTTTCAGATATTAATATTGAGAACACATTCTGTGTTCCCTGTTATATAAAGTTAACAATTGTAAAATTTGTTTTTGCAAGTGTAACAGCCTTGCTGGGGACAAGTGAATTGTTATGTTGTTCTCCTCTTCTACCTGTCATGGCCTTGAGTACCAGATCCAGTTCTTCAGAACTGCCCACACACATCCTAATCTAAATTGGTGCATTGCCCGTTACAGTGTGTGAAACATTAGTCGTAGTCCCATTGCCTTAATGACAGTTCTAGGTAGAAGTTGGATGTCCACATAGTGGAAGATGAACAAGTTCTATCCACCTCTGATCATCATGACTAGTTTCCCTCATCTGTGTTGATGTTATCCTTCATCTGGATCTCAGTCTTTCAGGTGGTCAGCCACATGCCCTCCTAGATGTCCGATGTCCTAGCAACAGTAAGTGGCTTCTGTAAGTCACTAGTTTTTTTTTCTTTGTATATCTTACATCTCCCATCTAGGGCCACAAGAAGCTGGCTGGTACCAACACTGGTTCAGACCGTTTCCGTCTGTTGATTTCTGATGGAAGACATCTAAATGGCTTCGCAATGTTGGCTACTCAGCTTAATAATCAAGTGACATCAGGAGAACTATGTGACTTCACTGTGGTCCAAATTACACGATACATCACAAGCATGGTGGCAAACTCGGAAAAAGGAGAGAGGTATGTTGGTTTAAGCTGTCTAGATCACTAACCATGTATAGAACACGCTTGCACTGACATGGAATATGAACTGCCATGCTGAGTTTTTGTTTTTGTCTCCTGCTGTAGGCTGGTTTCTTGTACGGCTTACTCTTCATGTCATTCCCTTGTCAAATTGACACAAGTCACAACCTAACCCCATCAGTGGTCCCACTGGAAGTAAGTATTCTGCATTATGGCCATGAGATTGTGGAGAACAGAATATGCAAAAAGTGTTTAGGTTTGTGTTTGTCCCCCCTCTCCCCGGATTGTCTTAGAAAAAGTGGCGGAACATCTACTCTAATTGTGAGACAGAGCTCATTTTATATCCATTTCAGAGCTAATGAAATTCCCTTTCTGGTGACTTTACACGAGTGTATTGAGCACATTTGTGTTTTCAAAGTCTTTAGCCTTGTAGTTCTCAAAATTATGCGTGTGCTCGTGCAGTGTGTGTGCCATCTATAAAACATCTGCAGATGTCAAAGAGGGGCTGCACTTATATTGATGAGGCAAGTTAGAGCAACATGTTTCTTTTAAAATCTATACATTTATTAATTTGATTTCACATTATTAGCTATTTTATTATAAAATCTGTTAACACTCACATGTCAGTAAAAGTGTTGCTGTATGTACACTTGAATGAGTGCTGGAAGAAGTATTGGGAATTTCTACAGCAAACAATACATCTACTGAGATTGAATTAATTTAACTGTACATGTTGGGCAGGTCCAGACATCCCTGGCTTGCATCATCTAGTATTTACCTGATGGGTATGAGTTATGCATTGTTGGCAGACCTGAGCAGGTTTGTGATCTGAAAGCTTTGCAGCCCAATGTTCTTTGGGCATTTGAGTAGTTCACATGTTCTGTGTGTTTTTCTCTGGATCTGTGTAAAAGATATTTGAGTGATGTTATAAAGTTTGATGTTTCCAATAATTATGGCATCTCATATCACCAGTGCTTTGTGCTGTAACCCATCTTATGGAAATGGACATAATGATGTCGGAAACAACATGAACATACTTCCTTGGATGCCTGAAAAAACTTCCAGAGTTAAATTTACTGTTTAACAGTTAAGAATGGAGCTGAGATAGCATAGTTGGTATAGCAGCTGGCTATGGGCTGGTCAGCCAAAGTGTCGGAATTCAAGTCCAAGTATGGGCAAGATTTTTCTTTTCCCCACTTCATCCAGACTGGTTCTGGGGCCGACTTAGCTTTCTGTGAAATGATGTCAGGGCCTCTTTCCCTGGGGACAAAGCAGCCGGATTATGAAGCTGACCACTCACCTCCAGCTAGTTCCAAGATGAAGAACATGTGGATCTACACATCCACTCCTCCATACACGTTCATGGCAGAGTTTACTTAGCTTACTTAGCTTACTTAGCTAAGCACAGGGACATTACCTTATTTAACAGTTAAGGTACATCATCATGAAAGATGCGTGATTAAGTGGATGCATAAGCTGACCTGTGTTTCTTTTGTACATACCTTCCACTCTTTGTTTATTTGATTCCTTGATATTTATTTCAGATCTAAGTGTCTGGGGCAGGATTCATCTTGTTACAATTCTGTCATCATTCTCTTGTCACGGATATTCAAGTTGCTAAGTGATACGTGAATGCTGTTTTACATGTTTTATGCAGTGCAAGTGTCTTTCTGAAAATACACTGTTTTTTAGACGTGTTATGGTAATTCTGGATGTCAAAATACTGGCTTCGGGAAATGAAGTTGGGTTCAAACTTGGCAATCCTAAACCAATGACTGATGGTGCTGAAGCAGAAGCTGTTGGTCCACAGCAAGCTGTCCACAACAAAACAGTACAGCCAAAGCGTAAGTAATAGAAGTAGCTTATATTCTTTCAGTCATGTAAAGAAATGTTATAGACAAGTTCCAGATTACCTACCAGACAACATAGTGTCATAACACAGAAGACCACAGTGTAAGTGTTTATCACCATGAAAACCCCATTTCATATTATTTACATTAACCCTTCAGTGGTGGAATTTTAAGTACCGCTGTTTTGAATGGCTTGTAGTAATATTTTTTTTAAATGTCCATTTAATATTTGCTCCAAAATAGTTTATTTTTTGTAACTTTTGAACTGCATGTGAGATGCAATAATGAACTTTTTACTGAAATCCTCTTACAAGGTGGCTTTATACCTTATAACATGGGCACGCTGTATACAAGCAGTGGAAGGAATTGGATTAGGAGTTGAGGTCTGTGTGGTAGCCTTTGAATGATCCATTTAGACACATTCCTGCTTCTCATTCACTGCACCAAATACATAGAGTCTCTCCTTTTCCTATATTCTGTAAACATGACACATTTTGTCTGAAATGTTGCCTTCTTTCTGGTGGCAGGAATACACACCAGCAAGCTTTATTCTATGAATGTTTTAGGCAACAGTTTAGTTGATGGATGGCTATGTATGGGACGAGAAGAACCAGAACAGTGTTTTTCCACAAGGTCTTTTGCTAATAATGACCTGAATTTTAGTGCATCTATATGTTTTTGTTATTTTGGAGTGACCATTACATGACCATTGCATTATGTATTGCTACACTGAGTGGCCTCAAATAATTCCAAATTCTTTGAACAGTATGATCTAAGCATAGGCTATTGTATAGTGCATATCAACATGGACAGAGGAGAAACCACATACATTTTGTCCACTGTGACATCTCGCTTCCTAATACTAGAGCAAAAAGTGGAAGGGTTGACACTTTTTGAAATTTCTTGCAGAACATATCTGCCAATTTCATCTAATATTGAGTTGGCTAAGAACTGTATCAAAAATGCTTTCAAATACACTCATGACATCCAGTTCAGTGGTGTTGATCTGGGGACCATACACATCACAAAGTGTTTCTCATGAAGTAGCAAATGATCCAGTATTTTGCAACACAAATTTACCACTCCCTCCCCCCATTCTGTGTTTACATTTTCTTCTTCTCCATCGCTACCATTGTGATTATCACTGTCAGTAATCAATTGGGTTTCTGGAATCACCAGCTGTGTATAATCCCTGTCAAAATACACTATCGTCCAGCCTAAATTCGCCAGTGTCTTGTTGTATAAATCTCCATTCAGAACATTTACGTGTTTACCCTCTGTCAGCAAACAACTTGTCAGGCTGGCCGTGCTAACTATGGGGTCTCATATTTATATTTAAACTGGCCTGCTCAGCTGCAGAAAATATAAGGCTGTTAAGACATTAACTGAGAGTTCATTCATTTCACAACAGACCAGTGTAAACCTCATCACACTGAAATTATTTTTTCCTTATTTACAGCCCATGAAAATAACCTAGTATGGTATATATTAAATCACAGAAAGCGTGATTAAATGTTCAACATAACATCTACAGACTGCGCTGATTGGTTAAGGTGTTGACCACAGTAACAGTAACACAGCAGTGATGATTTAGAGCCATTTCTGAACAACAAAATCCAAAATTCCTTCCAAACCTTTATGCAGCATACCATATTGATAGTGAGAACTGAAAAAAGAAGTGGAGTGGTTACATGCTTGGAAATTTTAGAGAGTGCCCAAGCAACACACCATGAAGGCGTAAAGAAATAAAGCTCGACTGTCCCTTAATTTTGCACTTGATGGAGGTGAATGGTCACTTTCATGCCCTGGGGAATATCTTCTGGAAATTAAAATAAATTTCGGAAACAAAATAAAATATGAAAGCTGGCAGGTTGGCCTAGAGGTCACGCTGTAGGTTTTGTTCAGGATGTTCCTAGTTCAATTCTTCACCTTGACACTGGCTATCACGACATAGATTTTTCATGGTTTACCTCAGGCCCTCTAGGGTATTATTTTCATTAGGACACAACTGCTTTGTTCCAGATCCCTTCATTTCATCAGTCATCCAACCATCTAATGCTGTATAGTGTGGATACTGACAGAGTCATTAAGTAATCCACAAAACAAAAACAAATATAATTGTATTGAAATTAAAATCAAACAGCCATTGTATAGTTATATTGATATTAATTCATAATTTACTCACCATGCATGTCTGCTAGCCCTTGTACAGTATTTTGAGAAGCCTGATTTAGTCTGTTCTCTCTTAGCAACAGCAAATCGGCCAGCCAGCAATGTATCAGTGTTGTCATCTCCAGGAGGCTCTGTAAATACACATCCAATATCCAGTTTGAGTCCCTACCAGAACAAGTAAGTATGCATTAAGGGTGACTTCTGTGCATGCAGTATGTCCTGGAATATGTCATTCAGAAGAAATGTGGTCAAGCAACTGTATAGTCTTAAATACATTGTATCTGAGAAATGCATACCTCTGAGTAATGGAGTATTTTGGATATGTATTTACCTAAATCATGGGAGTCCTATACTGAGGTGCATCTTCTGAATGAGGAGGTGAGGGACAGAATAATTTACTGATAAGGTATCACATAGAGTCAGTACACTTTTCTGCTACCTGAAGGTGAAGACAGAATGAACTTCAGAAACGTTCTCTTCATCCAGTCTACAGCAAAGGAATTCTCCAAAAATAACAGCCCATTGTTACAAACCTTTGAACAGAAATGTTTTTTGTTACAAAAAATTTGCCTTTCTAGTAATTTATGTTTACACGTGATTATATCTGTTGGTTCATGTTGTATGATTCACTGGACATGGGTCACTGACACAGTATAGGGTTCAGTGGCAAGCTGTTGGCATCTTAAGAAGTGATGTTCTCTGTAGAGTTAGTTAAGTCACTACCTTGGCTTCAAAATTTGTGATTGGTAGGAAGTTTCTTTCATATGCACAATCTGACTGATCACCTATTGCATCTTAATGTCATTTTATTGTCCCTGTTCCAGTGATGTTAGATGAATATGGTGTTAAATAATATTCGCAATTGAAGAATGAGAGTGGAATTAATGTGGCTCCATCTGTCTCCTGCAGTACAATACCATGCTATGCTACAGGCTGCTTCACTCAAAGAATGTCATAAATTAATTATTATAAATCGTGTAATAATGTACTAATTAAAATGAAACTTTGCAACATTGACCTGTTTCCAACCTTCCCAGATCATGCCATTCCATCACCATTGAAACTGTTGCAATACCTCTTGCAGTATTGACTCCAACATTCAGGAACATGGAACACCATGTTGGCCTGTGTATCCAGTAGGAGGGAAACCTGTCTCAACACCAGTAGCCCAATTATCTCCATGCCTGCCAAAGAGAATTTTTGCCAAGTTTCATTTTCATCAGTAAATTGTTGCATTATTTATAATTGTTGATTCAGGGCTTAACTCTGAGTGAATCATCCTGTACTCGTACTACCAGGAGACTATCTGTGGACCTGCCACATAATTGTTTGGCCACCTGTGGAAGAGATGTATCTCAAACTGACTGTTGTCAAGTGTGTTCAGACCCACAGTAATTGACAAACCCGTAGACCAACACATCACAAACAAAATCAGTCCATGTTGCATAACATGCCAGAAATGATTCCTATTGTGCATGCATTTTGTGCATGTCCATAAAAAGAAAGGTCACATACACACATTGGAGTTCCTTTTCGGAAATAAAGGAAACCTGAAACCTGTTACTTTCAGACCCCATTGCCCTGTACAAGGTACCCAGGAGATCTGTCAGGAGAATACTCTAGTCTAGCACTGATCTTATGCAATTTCTCTTCAGTCAGCACTCAGCATTTATTTGAATTCACTGTTGTCTAGTAATGACCTTGCCTGTCCTTACTTCTTTTTGATCGTACTCTCTAATAGAACATTAAAGGTACTTTTATTCAAATATAGAGATATATTGATGACTTAAATATTGACACCAGGAAACCGAGATTTAGTAAATGTTGCACTTAACTATAGGTGGCACAGCTTCATATTGCTGTTTTGCCAAAACCTCTTCTGTTGAACCATAAAACTTCATTGAAAATTTTATGTCAGTATTGCAGGTGGTTTTGTACCGTAGATTTTTAAAGTTCATGGCAGTATTTGTGCCATCAACAGTTCCCTGGCAAGGCAAGGCAAGGCACTTGGTATATGTATCATGGCCAGACTTAAAGTGTTCGTAAGTGCTTGGGATTAAAGTTAACAGGCACATAACACATATGCTTGTTTCACAGTGGTTCCTCAGTGATTTATTGAACCCTGTATTGGAGAGAAATTGTAATGTGTCTAGGCTCCTGCCTTCATACACATACAGCAAGTTGAAACACATGCTGCCAGAGCTGATACAAGGAGTGCCTGCCTCTTTCACAAAAGTGCCAAAACAATTTCTGGGAAGCTCTTAGAGAATCCTTCCATGTATTACAATGACCATTAGTTTTTCAGAATGTGAAGTAGAGAAATAATTGTCTTGGATTCAAGTAAATATGATGTTTGGGTAAGAGCTCCCAGACATGAACCAAGATTTTGATACAGGGTGGGGTGGAAGGATGTGTCTTTTCTGTAGGCTACTGTGAGAGACAGGGCAGTAAGAAAGAACTGGCATGATGATTGTAGTTTAGTATTCATGCCTTACATGTTTTGGATGACCTCCATGATATTCAGTATGTTTCTGTAGTCACTGTTTGAAGTTACATAACTCACTATAGTGAAGTGCCTTTAATTGTTCTGATTCCTTCTGTAATGCAGTCCTTGAGGTCTTGGAGAAATGGGGGTAGCACCCTTCAGTACACTTCAGAGCTGAGATACCCTCACAAGGCAAAGTGTGGGGCTGTCAAGTCTGGGGATTCAGATGACCAAGGGAATGTTGCCAAATCATGAAATGAAGCAGCCTGGAAACATTCCTTTAAGAGAAGTTATACTTTCCCTTATCACTGGGTCTGTGGAAACCATCAACATTTCTCAGCCTCTGCCTCATCTGTCACAGTTCTGTAGCCTGAAATGTTTGTGGCACAGTGCAACCAACAGTGCTCAGAATCCAAAGTAATGGCTCAGTTGTTTACATCAAAGCAATAATGCCCAACCACACCAAACAGTTACCTCCTTACTATGGAGAGGTTTCTTGTGGATCTGCATATGATTCTTATCGCTTCAATATCTGTAGTTCTGTTTGTTTATGTAACTGTACAAGCAGAAGTGGGCCTCACCTGTCATGATCAGACCTTCCATAATCCCTTCCTTTATCATTGTCCACAAGGTCCAAGAACTGTCTCCAGAAATTAACGCAAGAAGCTTTATCCCGTTCTTTCAGTCCCTTGGTTATGTTAACTTTGTATGGATGAAACCTCAAATCTTCATGCAGAATTCTTGGAAAGGGACCTGCTTGACATCTGTGAGGTGACCACTTGCTACATAGCTGACCACGTCACGCTCTGCTGCATTACTGTTGTCGCATGTTCTGTGTTCTCAAGTGTGTGAACAGAACATGCAGGGCCAACAAACTTGTTCACTGCACAGTGACAAACATTGAAATTGTGAGCCCTCTTCAAAATAACATTGCAAAAGAAATGTGCCATACCTTAGAACATCAAATTCAGAAACATCATAGCATCTGTATAATACAGTTAGTCTTAAATCCTCACAATGGAAACATAATGTTTCACCAGCCAGTTCTCCATGACTACCGAACTGCATACAAATACATGTATGTATGCATACAACATACACTTTTCCTGCTCCAGCACTTCAGCCATAGCAGTGATATGAGATGTCACATCCTGTAGTGAGGGAGGGGAGTTTCTGCCCCCCCCCCCAACATTGTACTTCATAATATTCCGTGAACTCTCTATTATCCATACTTATGGAGGAGAGAAGTAGCACAGATAATCCCAAAATGAAATAACCACTGTCCATGCTGCAGCTGACCCTGAAGGTCACTTAATTATTGCTTATTATTAATTATTGCAGGTTGCTACACAGTGCAACATATCCTTCCAACAGAAGAAAGTACAGGATGGGACATGAAATGATTCCAAATTTAAACTATGCATAGATAAACAAGTACCAAGGCATGGAGAGTTATCCTTAGTGGAGTACATGTTCTGTATAGTTGCTGTTCTGTTGTACAGCTTCTAAAAAATGATGTATATGTTCATGATCATGCAGCAGCATGCCATCTGTAATATCCCACCAGTCTCATGACAATAGTCTCATGCTTCATCAGTGAGACTGGCTTTTCTGACAACAGTTTTTCATTCATGAATCACCAAGAAAAGGAGTCACAGGGATGACTGTTTGTGCTGTAGGGCTTCAGACCCTGTGTGACTGACAGGATACTGACTGGAAGTCACACATGAACCAGAGGTATTGTGGAGGATGTCTGAGATAATGTTCACTTTGTGTAGCATCATTCTGCATAAACAATTGTATGTGTTTATCAACAAACCAATTGTAACAAGTTGATCTAGAAAACTCCTGCATGATCAATGTTTTGGGCTGTATACATTTGCAGCATGAGGACATTTCGACTCAAAACTGAAGTGTTCTGGTGAAACAGTCAGTTAAGCCAGTGGATGTCTTTTAAGGAGACAACTAGAAATGAGCATGAAATCTTCTTTGTGTTGCTGGAAGACTGTGTTTCCACAAAAACAGAAGAGTTTTTTCTGATCAAGATCTCCACCCAACAACCAGTCTCTCTTTATCTGTCACCTTTGTATATGGTACTGTACACTTTCTGAGTAGTAGTGTGGTAATCACTCCCAATGGCATGTCTATGAAGTAGACCACACACATTACACAAACTTGCCAGTTCACAGTCAAAAGAAATTGGGAAATATTTTATGTGCCACACTGGCACAAAAAGTACTCAAATATGAAGTTTGCAACAGAGTGAAATGGTGTACAGTTGATTGCAAATCATAAAGTGTCACCAATACAGATTACTGAAACTGATGTAATGATCAACTCATCATTACAGGGTACTATTGTTATGATGCCAGGATATGTGCAGTTTAGGGTACCTGTTCAGGGACATGTCCCTAGGGTAATGTCCCTTCCCAAATCATAATAAAACACCTTTCTCTTATCTAATCCAAAGAAAAGGTAACATTTATTAACTCAACAAAATAACATAATTAGTTTAATCAAATCTTGTCTACTTGCAATCACTTCCCCTCTCTGCTGAGGTTAGTTGGCCAAACTGTGACAGACAGATCTCTGCTTACAAAATACAGCAACTCTGTTGATGTTGAACATGGTGATGTGTGACACTTGTAGAGGTCTGTGGTCAGCCTGCCCCCATGTTGCTTGCCGCCTAGGTGTAGCGGCTCACGCTGGAGGATGGACCGTTTATCTATCTCAAAGCACTTGTTTCGACCGTCAAGAAGCGTCTGCCACCTCCTTTTTATAAACCTTAATACTCTGTGCTTTCCCCAGGCATACTGTAACAGAATTTACAATTGGACAATCATCTTTCATTTTCTAAACTGACAAGTGATTGCTTGACACCATATAGACAGCATAGGATATATGACTCATCTCCTCATGACATTTGTTCCAAACTTCATCTTTAGTAATATTATTCATCATCATGACATCCGTTGTTAGCCCTACTGTACAGGAAGTCAATGTGGTTTAACTTCCAACTTTACTCACTCTGTTTTTTTCCCGTCCACATCCTACATCCTGTGGTCTGATTACACTTCATACAGTCTGCTTGTGTACTCATACAATTAATTAAATGATTAACAATATACAATTAATACATATTTCTTAATATCCTTATCCCTTTCAGGTAACACCAATATATATATATATATATATATATATATATATACTCGTATATGTCAGGTGAAGTCGTCTCATAACACTATCATCAAAGCTGATGGGTTATAGAATCTCACGGGTAATCCTCACATTGATAATTAAGGGCCTACTGTAGAACTAGCTCTGTTTCTTGTGCTAAAGGAGACTATAGAATGATTTTAAAATTTAGTGGTGAAGGTGAAATTATATTGGTCAGACAAGTTTCCCATGAGAAGTATTGTAATGTAATGTAATGTAATACAGAAGTAGTAGAGACATTGTGTTAAACTGGGATGCCAGTCATGTTAGTCAGAAACTACTCAGCCAAACTGTTGCTGGTAGAAGCTGTTTACAAAGGGTTCTGACATTGGTGCGTGGGACACAGGATTACTGGGTTTTTGGACTGTCCATTGTCCAGTATTTAAGGAACACTAATTGAAGACTGACTGAAGTTAGCTCTTTCTAACAGAACTGAGTAGGTGTATTCTATCCCCACACCTGAGGATAGAAACATCCAGTTTCTGAAACGTTCTTTAGAATGCCGAATGAGCAACCATCTGTAAAATGCAATAATCCCCGGTGCTAGTAGAACTCATGTTAGTCAGGGACCTTTTAATAATACATATTTAACCTGTAAATATTTATCATACAATTGTAGAAATATTTTGTATCTCTAAGGTTTAGTAGCCAAGTCACATAATGTAATTAACCCATTCATTCCCATGTACAGAGGTTGGTTGTTCACTGGTTCTCAGTTCAGACCACCATTGCACACCAAGTGTGACATGCCATGAAAAGAAAAAAGTTTTCTTTTTTGAATACACTTTGTATACATAGTTCTTTACTCTGTTGATAAATGGTGCACATAATTACCCTTTGCAATTCATGGAGTGTATGTACTACCACTGTCAATAAGTTCGTGGAATGGCCGCAAAGGGTTATTGCAGTGTACTACAGCGGATAGGTTGAGGTACAATATGTTGCCCTGTCGGTTCATCTCTTGTCACAGCAAGAGGCAGTTATGTGCAAACAGTCTAAGTAGAACTACAACCTCTATTATGAACTGCAGTTAAATGCAAGTGGCAGAAATTGAAAATTTGGCAGTTTGAACAACGGGCAAACTTCAAGCGCTGCCAAAAACTAGGCAAATCCCCCAGCAAAACATTTAGCATAGCAAGAATTGGCTGTTGCTACACGACAGTGCCCCTGCACATCACTCTGTTCTTGTCCAAGAGGAACTGGCAAGGCAGCAGGTCACCATTTTGCCATACCCTCCGTACTCACCTGATCTCACACCATGCAATTTCTTTCTCTTTCACCACTTGAAAGCAAAGCTACGTGGTCATAGATTCAAGTCATCTGAGAAGGTGGTCATTGCCACAAGAGATGCTGTACGGGAATTTCCTGCCAATATGTTTGAGCAATGTTTTCGGCAGCTATATCAATGTTGGCAGACTTGCATAGCAGCCAGCAGCAACTATTTTGAGGGCCAATGTGGATCTGTAGTGTATGTGAATACCATGTAATATGATGCAATATAACCATATTCCACGAACTTGATGGCTCTGCCACGTATATCATTTGCTATCCATTTCTTTGCATTGAAATACTGCAGACTGTTAGTATACTGCGAGAAGTGGCTGGCCTGGTACATAACCCAGCTGCAGAATTCAGGGGAGGCAAAATGCTGAAAGTGAGAGGTCACAGTCATACACATCACTGAGAATGAAGTCCTTGTGTCATATTGTCTCTTTACCTTGAGTCCTAGCCAGACTAATTACTGTTGGAAATAACTTGTAGGTGGGTGATTAAAGCTCGTGTCACAGCAAAGTCTCCTGTGAGGACCTGGGCAAATGCACGAGGAGAAGGAAAGCTCTTTTCTATGGATTTAATAGATGAGACTGGAGAAATTCGAGCAACAGCATTCAAAGAACAATGTGACAAGTTCTTTGACATGATTGAGGTAACACATAATGGAGAAATATTTTAGCATCATATTTGCTTTTTACAGTCTTCCAAGCCTCATATAATTACTGTGATATTCTTTACAGGTTAACAAAGTGTACCTCATTAGTCGATGTGTACTGAAGACTGCAAATAAGAAGTTTACCAACATTAAGAATGATTATGAGATGACCTTCACCAGTGACACCCAAGTGATCCCTTGTAATGAAGATACAGCTGGTATTCCAACACTTACATTCGATTTTACACCTATCAGTGCGTTGGCTGGATTGGAAAGTAATGCAATAGTCGGTTAGTCAAAACATTTACTTTAGTTTCTTGTTAATATGAATAGTGCTTTTTTTTTTCAGCCAGCACACAGATCACAAACAACTTATGTGTACCAACAAACACTTCATTGGTACCAGCAGTCTTGTCAAATTGTATGAACCTATTTTTACAGCTGTAGCCAGAATTTTAAGTTTCTTTGCCTGAACCATAGTGTGTAGTATTTATAACGTGTGTGACACTGATAGAGAAGGTAGTGTGCATTAACCAGTATTAGGGAGGTTCATTTTATAATACTGTTAGTTTAAGATTCATATGCCAGAGCTCCTTTACGCAGCATGATAATACCACAGACTTTCAACATTTAAAACATTTAGTGTAATCAATTTCAACCAGTTACAGTTTCGTAGACAGTTTACTGTATTATTTGCATTTAAGTTCTGTTTGGGGGATGAACCTTAACTGTCAATGTTTTATTTCTCTCTGCATTCACATACTGATTTGTCAGTTCCATGCCATGCTCTGTATAAATAAGGGAACACCAAATACAGCCTGTTATAAATTCACAGAAATCGAACGTCTTGTTGGTTTCATTTACGGGTGGTTGTGTCAGACTGTGGACCATGAATACCACAAAAAGTTTCTTGTACTGCATTCATTCATTCATCTGTAATCTGTCAAGACGACAGGTCCACAGTCTCTTCCAAAACAGTTCCTCCACTTGATGCGATCTAGGGCTTTCTCCTTCAAATGAAAACATCCTCTTCTGTCCCCAAGGTTATCCAGCAT